GAATGCATTATTATTATCATTATTGAATATACTCGTAATAGATATATTGTTTATATTATTATCGTAATTTTTTATGGTAAAGGTTAAAATTCATGTACCGCAAGTACTAAAATACGATTGGATATATATGTTACGGTAAATGATGTTATATCGGAAATTATCGTTATTCGCCGGTTATTAACGTTATTTACCTACGAATGTGGGAATTGTCGTTATTTTCTAGTGAATAACGTTAATAACCGTATAATTTGGGAAATGTTGATCTGATTATAAAATAAAAAAGGTCATTGCGGAAGATTTAAAAAAATAACCAAAGAACCAATCACCAAAGAAGACAAAATCGGAAATTAAATCATAGAAATCGCAAAAAAAAATTTGGAACTTGGTACTTAAATATTTTTTAATTATTTAACGATAAATTTCCGAATTTTAAATATAACACAAATAAAACTAAAATATAAATATTTAAAAATTATTTAAAATATTTTTTTGATGATTGTCAAGAAAATATTTGTATTGCATGTAAAAATTCAAAAAAAAAAAAAAAAATTTAGAAAAACAAGGAGAGGAAATGATGAAACTTTCTAAATAAAAGTTTCCTCAGCTTGAAATAGGCATAACTGTATGTGTATTTATACCGAACGTTGATAGAGCTCGTGATTCTATGCGAAATATACTAGCAGTTGTCACCCAAGTTGAACATGACTTATACAAATTCTGTAAATAAATTCTTAATGAAAAAATATACTATTAAAATTAAAATTTGTCTTATTATTTTATAGGTACGGAATATAGTTTTCTTAAATACTATTTCGCATGCCAAGAAATAGCTGCTTGCAAATAAAATCTATTAGACATGGACAATGTGATAAAATTTGCAGATGGTAGACAGTTGACACTGAGAGAAGTAGCTAGTAATAATTCGGTTGCGGGCCTTCAAAGGTACCGGCGTTGTCATTGCAAGACTAGTTGTAATAATAAACATTGTGCCTACCTTGGGACTGAAAAATTATGTTATATTAAATGTCATGGGAGTAAAACTTGTAAAATTAAATAAAAAATAATAATGCATTTTTTCTAATTTTAAAAATACCTGGGTACATGCATAATTTTTCAAATTATAGTATTTGAGATTCATGCGCATATCTGATTTATAACATCAATTACCTGTGTATTTGGTAAATAATGTTAATAACTGGTGAATAACGTAAATTTTCATTTAACATAATTTACCGTAACATATATACGTGAATAAATATATAACTATCTTGTAGATAATTTTTTTCTCTACGGTTTTTGTTTGAAATTTTTTTTTGTACAACCAGCATTAATCGAGATATTAACGCAAAGGCTAATTGTTTTTAGCGAAAAAATTATATTTCATTAATATAGTGTATGCTTTGTTGGCCTTTTAACACAAAAACTATAACTTTCACGTGAAAATCTCATGAAATATTTTTTGTAGATAATTATCTTTTCTATATTTTTTATTGTACAACCAGTAAAAAGTGATATATTTAATTCGGTGTTTTCGTATAAGAAATCCGACAAAAGGTTAGATGACAATTTTAAGAGTAAATATTTGTATACACGAAGAAAATAATGTTCGATGAAAACGAAATTACGACTTTATCTTCAAAATCAGATGAAGCATATCCAAGTATTATGTTAGAAGAGAAAAATGTCGCTCATGTAATGAAAAAGTAATGGAATAATTTCGGCAAACAAAATATTGAGTGATAATAATATATTATTGGAATTTATCAAGTTGTGGGATTACTGAGATTCAGTAATTATTTTACTGGATTATTTTTCAAAAAAACTTAGTGTCAATAAGTGGTTTATCAATTATTATCATATCGGTATGTAAAATTTCATAGTACCTACATATCTATAATTATTATGCTTTGTTCAAATAAGGAACGTAGTCGGCGGCCGGCTATAGTGTGTAAGGGCGCGGCCACACTATACACGATAAGTAGCTGAGTATATGCAATTTACATTATTCAATTTTTTTGTGATAAAGTTTTTTATCTATGAATCTGTTAATAATATCTATGAATTATTCTTTATTCTTGTTACATACTAACATTCGTAGTTTTGCAACAAATACCTACCTAAAAGGCCATGATGATTTGGAGGTCCGTTACATTAGCACCACCATATTTGAAAATCCAAAAGAAAATTATACCAACGATTTTTATTCCATTTGTAATCCTAATATAAACATTTTTACATCCCTTCAAACGCCCCCAAAAAATGTATTTCTCCGGCGGTGCTAATGCAACGTTACTATATGATATTTTCCAAAACGCGTAGTTATTGCAATAATTGGGGTAGTGCCAATGTTGATGCGATGTTCAAGTGTATTTCGGTGTTTGGCAATAATAATATCATATACTAAACATTGTCCACACTCCACACCCCACTTATATAACGTGTTCTTGGCGATTTTTTGCTCATTGAACAAGTTTGGCCTTTAGAATCTTTAGATGCAACATACGTATTTATTATGATGACTATAATGACAACAATGATATATTATGTGTCTCATTCAATGTCTTCATTGGCCATTGCAGTGTTTTGCAAGCACTTTTTTCTTTTCTCGGATCCTTGTACAAGTTTACGCAGTTTATTTATTCATGTTTGAGGCTCGTCGTGTACAGTTTTGCTTTACGTATGCGTATAACAACATTGGAAGTTTTATCCGCGTTTACTTATCCGTTACACACAACGAACAAAACTTCAATAGTTCAACGTTTATACTGGGGAATAACACTTAGTATACCTATAGCCATTAATCACTATTGTATACTAGACATTAGAACCCATGCATAATTATTTACACTAAAATACATCAGTGGGTTGTGGGTACGTACGATGTACGCCTGCATACAGCGTACCTACTATACAGGAACAATGTGACGGAGTGAAGTATATAGGTCCTATCTTAGTTATATTATTCGAATAATAACCTCACGACGGAAATGGTATAATTACACACATCATGTTAAACAGATTGGCCCTAACCTTTCAACTGATTTTGACGATTTAATTTAATTTATTTTTATTTTTATCTAGCAAGTATATTCGCATTTATTATTCGTAGAAGTTTCATAATTTTTAGTTAAGTATTTTATTATTTGACGACGTTAATGAGGACTGAGTAAGACAAGAAGTATGAAATATATATTTGAAAACATAAAATATAATAATATATAACTTGAAACTTGAAACTGTTTTAAAAATTTTATGGTTGGTAAGATTTAATGGTGAATAATGAAAAAAGTTTCTGATTACGCCATTAACTATCACATTTTCGACGAATATCTGTAGTAATCGAAAAACTTTATGTATGAAATATTACTGAATACTTCATAGAATACTTCCCGTTTTTTGTAACAATTTTCTAAAGCAAATAAAAATGTATTGATTTTTTTTTAACTGTTAACATCCAACTAATGATTGAAAGGTGTTCTATGCTCATGACAATATTTTAATAGCGATAAAAACTGTATCAAATTAGGAGGTATACGTAAAAATAATTTCCTGAAAATTCACTTTCTATGCAGCTATTTCTGGTTCAAATGAAAGTAATATTAAGCGCTAAATCACTCGCACTCGTTAATCTCAACATTTTATCTGTAGGTTACTGTTAAAAAATGATTAGATTAATAGAATAATGAAATCTATCAATTCGGATTTTTATAGTTAGGTAAGTACATTCAATTTTAACAGGAAATATTTATCATGTTAAAATTATTTTAATTATGTTGTCAAGTGATGAGCTTCTTGTATATTATAATATATTTGTGGGTCCGTGGCCTTTTGCCCATCGTGCCACCCGATTGTTGTCATTGATAAAAATAGAACTTAACAATCTATTAATCATGGAGTATAATTAATTCCATTGGAAATTTATTTAATAGTCTAATAGTATTTATTTTAACATTAATATATTATTATATTAATCATTTAATATGGATAATTTTAATTTATACTTTTATTAATGGCGGGATTTATTAATTTTAAATCATAAATGTTATTTCTGTATAATAGGTACTTAATTCTTTATAATAATCATTTGTTTATCATAGAGTTTTGTTGCTAATTGATGTCTATATGAACTATGACAAATTTTTTTTTTCGTGTAACAATGAAAACCATTAAAAACCGAGCTTTAACATTTTCACAATACCCAAGTACTAAAATGTGTGAAAAATAAGATGCGTTTACGATTGTCGTATTGGTATTATGTTTATGTTTCACACAATTGGTTTTTTGTTATCATTTTGTTTTGTACTCATAAGTTATTATAACTGAATGCACAATGAACAAAAATATCTTTCTAGTGTGCCATATGCCACACACATTATTGTATTTTTATTTTTTACTTCATTAAATGTATAGGGTAAGATGTTTTTGCATACCAAAAATTAAAATAACATAATATTTCACTATTTAAAAAAAGTCATTATTATTATATCAATAACCATTAAGTATTATAATATAATCGTACAGGAACATTAAATGATATTTAGTAACATGTTAAATATTTAAATAACTTAATAAATCGTTGTATGTTTGTATGTTATAAATATGATACACAGATAAAATTAAATACAATATATTATTCACATAAAGGTTATTTATAATTTTTATTGTTGTCGAGGGCGCACTTTCAATTATTTTTCAAAGACACTGCAGAAGTTTTTTTTGTCACTGTTTATATCTATTCAAAATTAAAAACTCGATTATTTAAAACTTTCATCTGATGTCGTTTATATCTTAATAAATTATTTTTAACACTGAATTGCGATACGACGTACTTACATGTTTTTACATTTTGTGATTTTATGCTAAAATAAAAACAAAATTTGTATCCTGTATAGTTATGTATGCAAATTTTTTACTGCAAAAAATACTTCTAATTAACATCACAGTGTGTTTGTGTGTGTGCGTGTATGAGACGTACAACCGCTACCACTGCGATTCAGGTAGGCAAAAGGATTTGTGCACATTTGGGACGCTCTCAGTCACATAACAATCGATTCGACACTACCCCAAAAATATTTCATAGTACAGTAAAAACGAAAAGGATGACTATTGGTTGTAAACTGTGGTTATTAGTCGTAGTGTACGTAGCATTCTTATATCAATATGGTCCCCAAGGCAACGGCGTTTTATGTGCAAAAGATTCCACATCCCAATCGGACGAAGATCAATCGTCCGGAACTGCATCGTTTGAAGACGTTACTGTCGAACAAGGTGACGATGATGAACAGCCCGATTTTAGTAATCAAAAGGGTAATACCAGTAAAAAGAATGATATAAAAAACAATCACAAAGGATCCAGCGAAGATGATAAAAACCGCAGTGGAGGATTCAGTGATGGTGATGGTAATGATGATGATGATGATGATGATGATGATGATGATGATGACGATAAGAAATCGCATTCTTGCAAAGACAAGAATTATGGGAGAAATAAAAATAATAGTGAAACTTTTAAAAAATCGAACAGAGGTAAGAATAACCAGTGTTACCATAACGAAAGTAGTGAAGACCACGAAGACGATGAAGATGGAGAAAATAGTGCCGATGAAGATGATGAGGAAAGCAAAGAGCACAACAAGAAAAGCAAGAAATCTAAGAAAAATAATGACAAAGATATCACGAAATTGCAGATATTTACGACGACCACTATTACAGGAAGACCAAAGGAAGTCCTATCATTCCTTAACGCAGGTATTAACTTAATTCACTTTAATTTATAGTTTATTAAATCATTGTTTTTAAGTACCCCTTTGTTTTTGCATCTAATCGTAATATTTTGTAAATCGAATTGTTTATACTCATTGACATCGAGGAACGTTATTTTACATTATTGAACGATTAGACGTGTATAATGGTTTAAACAAATGTTACTTATTTCATTTTATAATTAAATCAAACTCGAATGATTTGGCGTTTATTAAAAATATTTACTTATAACTATTATCAGTACCTAGGTATTGTGTTCTAGACTAAGTTAAAATAAATAATGATGTTAACTGGATTTAATAGAGAAAAAAGAAATAGGTAGTTACATATTTATAAACGCTAATCATTGTATTAACTGAATATTTATTAATAATTATCATCAATTTATAGTAAGAAGTTATTTAGTATACATAATATAGGTCTGTTCGAAATAAGACAACGTAAGAATCTACACACTTCCATCAAAAAACTAAAAATAGGCAAAATATTGCGATATATTTTATAATTGTTATTTGCAATTTTTTAATGTTTTTTTTTTTTTTTTTATAGGTGTAAGACCCTATAAATCAGATAATTTGGATTTCAAGAAAAAATCAAATTCTAAACTTTTAAAAAAAATTTATGCCATCACAAATAAAAATCATACATCAAATGAAGATAAATACGATACATCAAATGAGGATTTGACACATTATATAAGAAAAATTGTCAAAGAGAGTGCAAAAAAAAAAAATTCTAAAATAGATTCAGATAAGGTAAGAATTTTAAATTACGCAGTTTTATTTGTGAATTACCAATAGTAATGCGCATTATGCCTGCCCCCCACTTCTTAAAATACTAGATTTTTAACTGTTTATAATTAGTACGTAATTAGTACAAAGTACTAATAATAGTAAGTATCTTTAGTTATTACTTATTAGGTATAAACGATTTAAAGCATAGAAAAACTTCTTCGATTTCTAACTATAATATTTCTTTTAGTTAGAAAATTAATCTAGTTAGTACTTTTGGGAAGTCAAAATTGTAAATTCTCAGTAAAACTTATCTTAATAATTGGGTGGGGGGGAGGAACAAGAATTTTTGCGTAAAATTAATTTTATTATTTTATTGTAATTTAAAAACGAATAACCTTAGATACTTTTAATTTTTATAAAATGTTTATTAAAGCATATTATATATATGGTGAAATTTTCAAAATATTTTGACTCATTAGTTTAATTTATAGGTATTTTACAATCTCAAATTTTTTTTTTTAGTTTTTTTTTCTATAAATATTTAATCATAAGCTGTTATTAAAGCAAAAATAATGACTTTAGTTATACCTATTGTTGTAATTCAAATATATTTTCTTAGGGATTTGAAACTTTTAGGTATATATTTATGTTTTATATTATACACAATGATATTTTCAAAACGTTTAAATTCATATTATGTTATATAATTTTTAACGTTTATTATAGACATATATAATATTATTTTAGATAATATAATACTTTGCGCATGCCGTATTCATGTATATATTTTACATACTTTCATATTATATACGATATAATAAATATCGAGTTAAGTAAAAGGTAAAGCAGGGCCTATTAATCGATGCTTTTTTAACTTACTGTGTTTTATTACAAAGTGTTCGGAAAATATACGTTACTAAATAACCTTTAATTAAATAATAACATTTTTATATAAATATATTTTAAAAAGTAATTATTTAATAGAAATATCAAAAAAAAAAAAAAAAAAATTACCTTGGATTTCCAGATGGCTTGTTTGAAATAATCTCTTTAAAAATTCATCCCTACACAGAACATATTATACGCCATCTAAAATTAGACATGAACTACCATATTCATATACTTTTGCTCTTTTAAATGTTATAAAACAAGGTGATTTCGTATATTCAAAAAAAAAAAAATTCAGTTACTAAGGATGTCCATGATATTTTTGGTAGAATATAATAGGATCGAGCACTATTTTTTGTTTTTTTATGAACATTCAACTATTTCTTGGGATCGTTTTGTTTTCATTAGTGAAAAAGTAAATGTGAAACACTTAGTTGATAATTTAATTAATGTATCATCTGCAGTTATTATTGCTGCAATCACTATAATTCTATGCAGAAATATTATTTTTCAAATAAGTGATATAATACATATTTTTTTGTTTTTCTCAATTATTAAGAAAAATACTGAGAATTTATAATTTTAACTTTCCATAAGTACCGACTAGATTGACTTTCTCACTAGTAGAAATATTAAAGTTGAAAGTCGAAGCATTTTTCAATTTTAATCGTTTATAGTGTATATCTAATACCTATAGGTACACATAAAAAAAACACACACACACACACACACATATTATTATAAAGTTAATTTACTTTTTAAATTAGTACGTGGATTACGTAAAGAGTATTTTGTTCCTATTTAATATCTATATATTATGAATTTATGATATTATTTTATCATAAAACATGAAAGGTTAGGTTACTATTATAATATTATTTTTATTTAAAACCGTGTATAATGTATATGAGTAGATAGCACTTATAGTGTTTATAATTATTGCAAAATTTTTATGGATTATTTTCAAACCAACTAAAAAAAAGTAACATTATTTAAATAGTTGATTAAACTAATCAAAAAGCTTTAATTTTTGTAGTTTGTTGGCTACCAATATTGCCAATTTTGCCAATTTTTATCCAGTGTGTTAATTTGTCTAAAATATTTCAAAACAATATATTTGTTTGATTCAATCGGAGTATGAATATGATTAAATTTTAATTCAATGTTTTTTTTTTTTTTTTTTACAGATATTAATATCCCTCGTGAAGTCGATATTGTATGATATATTGAAAGGTGCATAGTTTGAAGCCCGTGATAAGTCCACAAGTGTAATTTACCTGATGCATGTGAAATTACATTTGTGTGCATGACAGTAGTTGTAATTAACAACAATAACATTTGTGCAAAATGTTATAAATCGTTAGTAAAAATGTGTTTTTTAACGTTCAAAATAATTATATTTACACTTTGCAGTATTTACGCATTTATTGAGTATATTATATACATAATACATTATACTCGTATAAATATTAAAATATTTTTTATTGCGTTAAAGATGTTTTAAATTTATATATTGTGTATTGTGTATACTAATATACATTATACACTATGGCCATAATAAACTAAGAAAATATTATGATTTACATTTACATGAGTTATGGTTTTTATATTAAAACCTATAAAATGACATTATTATTGAGTTAAAAATTTTATATCTAAATGTTTCGTAAGACAATAATGTTGATGTATAAATGCCACACAACTACGTTATTTATTAATCATAAATAGTAAATATTAGAGCAAGTCATAAACATGTTTCATGGCCTTTGAATATTTTTGAAAAAATATTAAAATTGTTCATGCTTATTCGTCGCACATTTTTTATGGTTGGCATAATTTACTGAAATGACTGAAGGGCCGATTTTAAAAACTTGCCAAATAATTTATTACGATGTATTGCCAAATTTAATATTTCTTAAATTACATTTTAGTACAAGATCAACTTTCTAGTATTGGTATAATTCTATAATTATACTAATCGTTATTCATTGTCGTGTTTTTTTTCCGAACAGTTGAACCGTTTTATTATTTTACGTAACAATTAACTTATATAAACGTTTTACTTACTATCATGTTCCGTTGTTAAGAATCCATCGACTCGCCAATAATTTACCAGATACCAAGATAATTACAGGTATAGAGTGTTAGTAAAAATGAAAAATAATTAATAGACTAATATAAATTGTTTTCGCTTTAATAGTAGTCTCTTTCATACATAATACACAAATAACAACAGTATAAAATAACATGTTTTTCCATGTAAAATAGGGTTAAAAATTAGAAACAAATCAGTCGTACATTTAATCACGTACGTTAAATAGACTTAATTTCATGCAATTATAATCTGTTTTGAAAAAAAAAAAAAAAACAATATAAAATACAATTTAAGAATGAGCCAAATTAGTTATTTTAGCATTTTATTTCGCTAAATTGCATTATTAATCAATACTTATAGTAATGTCATTACTCTGCATTAATAAAAAAAAATTGCTCATTTTATAGTTCAATCTTAACAACTAAATTATTAAGTGAACAAAGTTATCCAAGTGGAAAAATTATGGTCTAAAAATTTGAGAAACATAATATTTGCATTGTCTGTGGAATAACAATAATTTCCTATATAACCTATTCAACGTTTTCCATTCTATTTATTTGATCTAAAATATCTAAAATTTAAAACTTAACAATAAATTATAATAATAATAATAATAATGATAATAAATATATTTAATACTAAGGTGTGTAATTTTTGCTAAAACATGTCAAAAGATTCTAAAAAAAAAAAAAGAAAAAAAAATGTACTTGCGTGAAAAAGTTCCTTGACCAAAATTGGCCCCGCATCAAGTACTCACTACAATATATTCATGGAATCTTTGGTCAGCTTTTCACACGCAATTAACCAGAATAAAAATGCTGGTATATAACATACGATTTATTTAATAATAATTATTATAATATTATAGATTCATAAAATGTTGGGAATATCGAGTTTAGACGTACGCAAATTGCTCAATAATATTGATCGACATAATAATTTGCAATATTACGCGCAGTACGCATTATTATTATATTGATTTGTAGAATAAATGTATATTATTAATGCCAGAGTCGGCCTTAAAGGAACTTTTAACACATCTATCCACGCAGAATACATATGTATAATAATAATTTATAGTATATTATAATAACAATAAAACTTCAATGAAAATGAATAAATAGAATATTTTTAAACCGTTACCGTTAAGTATATCGTTATATTATATAACATGCATAGTATTATTTTAAAAATGGAAATTGAAAAAGTGACCATCTGGACGATTTTATAAACGTACAATAGAGATTTTTACAGGATCATCGTACGTCGTAGGCGTACAACAACCATCGTCAGCTCATTTTTTTTTTTTTTTTATCTTTAAAGAATGGCAGTGCGTAATATTTAACTGTTATTTTTCAATTTATTATTTTCATTTTTTATACAGAATTTCGTATCGTGAGCACGGTTTTTGTCGTCTATATAGTCGAACACCTCGCTGGAGTTTACGCTTTTCATTCTACTACAATATATTATGTAGAACTTGCACGCCGTATAGCGCAGCTAGTGTATAGGTTTATAATATATATTCATGTATAATATATTTTCATATATAGTATAACATAATTATAATAATTAGACGGGTACATAATATATGCATAAATAATAAACATATTATAAATAATCGTTTCGGTGTATGTACGAACAATATAACGTATCGCGATCAATGCAATAACAGTAAATAAACAGTATTTCATAACGGTAAATAATTATAACATACCTATAATATTATTATCATTATCGTTATCACCGAGGCGAATTCTGAGACGGAAAACGACGAAAGCGCCTGTCGTCGAATGCAGATCGCAATTCGTCGAGCGCGGGACGACAACGACGAGGGGGTTGTTCGTCTCGGGGGTTGGGGAGGGGGAGGGGGTTCGTTTAAGTCGTGTCGCTCCTGTTCCTGGTGACCGCAGGCCACGTGTCGTGTCCGCCGTGGAGGTGACAGTCGCACCCGCAACGGTTGTGATCCGCGTTGGTGGACGAAGATCGCCGGCGGGGTCTCATGGACATGGGCAGAACGGTGATCTTCTTGGGCGATCTGGGCTTGAACGCCGTCTCGCTGCCGGACTTGAGGTCGTCGACGTCGTCGTCGTTGCCGAAGTCGACCCAGTGACGGCCCCGCGAACAGCTCATCGGCGCGTTCACGCTACGCGCCCGGCGACGCCTCGGCGGATCGGTAGTCGGTGTCTGAACGGTGGTCGCGGGTTTATGGAAATTTCTGGAAAACAGAATAAGAAAATCTTGTAACGGTAACGTCACGATCGTTTGTAACACAACTGTGCAACTATCATAATATGTACAATCCCTTAATCACAATGACGATGTTAATAATAAAACAAAACTTTAAAACGGTCTGAAATGTAATATCTGACGATTGGGTTTTTCTTTCTGACTGACTGACGGCAGGAAATTTTATTTTTATCACAGTTTAAGTTATTGCGGTGGAATATAAAGTAGTCTTTAAGTGGGCCAATGTCCACTAAATCGTGTCGTCGCGTGAACCACTCATAAATACGTAGGTAGGTAACAAAACATTGGTAACACAACACACACCATTTAAATTATATTCAACTCTACGTGACGACACGATATAGTGGAAATTCGGTTTATATTTATGGTCTGTGTTTGAATTTAAAAATCACTGTGTCCAGAGAGCTGTAATCATGTTCCTTAATAATAAATTAGTTTATTTTTGTCGATCACATAAACAGTTTTATTACCTAAATATTATTTATTTTCTTTAATTTTTAAACCGTTAAGATTTATGTTTTTTACAACTAGTAAATCAATATGAATAGGTTTGCTTTTATAAAGAACAGTACTCAATTTTCAATGAAAGTATTCTTGAGAAAATTGTATTTCATTATATTATTATAAAATATTAACAAATATTTATTATTAATAGGGCTTCTGGTAATTTGCACTACTATGTTTGTAAGTAATATGGGGTGGAACAGTTTTCCTTAAAAAAAAAAAAAAAAAAATTGTAATATTTTTTAAAGTAATATGAATATTATACAGCTATATAGGTTATTCAAAAATTGATATTAATTTGTATATTATATTTAACTTGAAGTTATTTATAAATTATAGTTAAAAATTGATAATTTATTATTATATTTTCTCACAGTGATTTTTATTTTAATTAATTAATATTATTGTTCAGTAAATGATAGATATTCAAATTAATCTGCACGTCATTTTTAAAAAAAAATTATAGATTATTAACATTTTCTGTTTTGATAAAAGAAATAATTATTCACAATGAAAAGATTTGCATTTTTTTTTTTGTTTTTGGAGGAAAATTAATGGTGGACAAATATTGTACACGGAGAAAAATGGTTAGGTTATAATATATAATATGTGGTCGTCTTTTCAATCAATGGCTTATAACCAATAGTCATTAATCGCATACCTATTAAATTTAAATCGTGATGTATAGTGCATACCTCTGCCGTGCGAGCGGGCTACGGGCATTGTGCTTATTTATATTTCACGTGGCTCATGTGCACTGTGCAGAAATTATTTAGATCATTGCTACACGCGTATAAGGGTCTTAACTGGTATCAGTCGTGCCAGAAAATATCAGGAAGTGGTCAGGTTACGCAGAAGTGGTTAATGCTTTAATATGGTTAGTGATTTGATATCTTACCTAGCAGTTGTTGATTTAAATGTGATTTACGTATCTATTAATTTACATTTAACATCTTAACATTTAATATTGAAATTTTGTATAAAAAATAAAATATTTGTATATATATATAATAATTATACATATTATAATGATTAATTATAATTATGTAACGGGTTGAATGTTGAGAGAATGACATCGTAAAACAAAATCGTAATTAATCGTCACTAATGACATTACTGAAAAGTCCAAGTAAATTATTCCTATGGTTATGTTTGTAAGGTTTTACTTTCGACTATGTACATATGTATTATTTATACAAGCAGTACATGGTTATATCAATAAAAAATAGGCACGAACATTATTCTAATATGTTCGTTAATGTGAAATATTATGTATGATTTATCAAAGTTTCTAAGAATATAATATATTAATAATATTAAGATTTTTTTACGGATTTTGCCTGTGATATAAATATATTTATAGATCGTCAGCCAGACTACCGTTGCACCAGTTTCAAAAATATAATATCGTGCTGCTGAGCTGAGTTCGCAACCATGTTACGGTAATGCTACACTTTAAAACATCGATAAAAAAAAAAAAAAAAAGTTGTTTGTTTTTTAATTGTACCATCTGCACGTGGTGCTGCATTGTGGAACGAAATATA